TTGCATGTCAGCCCCTGCCTGTTTAATTTCTCTAAGGGACTAACAACCACTCTGAAGGTTGCTACAAGCTCCGGGGCCTCCATGTTCACTTTATTTGTTCCCAAAAGAGGTCATTCTCCTTTCCCAGGAGGTGATTACCTATTTACCATTTTGGTTTTTTGTTTTTGAGACGGAATTTCACTGTCACCCAGGCTGGAATGCAATCTCAGCTCACCACAACCTCCGCTTCCCAGGTTCAAGCGATTCTCCTGCCTCAACCTCTGGAGTAGACGGGATTACAGGCACACGCCACCACGCCTGGCTAATTTTTCTATTTTTAGTAGAGATGGGATTTCACCATGTTGGCCAGGCTGGTCTCAAACTCCTGACCTCAGGTGATCCGCCCGACTCAGCCTCCCAAAGTGCTAGGATTACAGGCGTGAGCCACCATGCCTGGCCCACCTATTTAACTTTTTACTGTGCTATTTATCATGGGCAGGTGTTTGAAGCAGGAGTTTGGTTCCTTAGTCCACCATCTTGCTGGAGCCACTCGTCTCTAGAGCCAAGGCTAAGGTGAACATGACTATTGAACCTTAAGCAGCAATGGGTTTAGCTATTCTCATGATTTAAAAAAAAAAAAAAAAAAAAAATCCTGATGTGACATATTCCCTCCAGGGAATGGCAGGGAGACACCACTGATGTGTTCCCTTCTGTGTCCAGACAGACACCAGGAGGGTAGCCCCTCTACACTCAGGGACTGTTGGAAGAGGCCAGGCCACGCAGTCCAGTTGCAGCCACTCACGGATGAGGGGCTGGGCCTGTGCCTGTCTTGCTAAAAGTTAAACCATTATCAGGATCTCCAGACCAACACTGGCAGGGCCACTGATCCTCAAAACACAGCCAGTTAGCTCCCTGGCCAGGTGACAGTTAAGAACACCCATCTGGTTCCTCCTTTGCAGGACAAAATCCTCAGGTCAGAGGCCACAGCAGTACCAGGTGAAGGGAGGTTTGTTTTTGCAGGTCTGCTCTTAGCAGCCAGGCCTGGCCACTGCAGCTGGGCAGGGCCCTGAATGTGCACACGCAACGAAGTATAACTCTTACGCAGCATGTCTAGAACACACCAGAAAACACATCTAGATAATGCTAAAGCTCAGCAGGGCTGCCTTTTCCACAAGTGAGATCCAGACTTTAGTAGCTTTTAAAAGCCCCAGGTGATTATAATTCACACCCAGGACTGAAGTCCACTGGTTTGAACTTTATGTTAGGAGTCTATCCCACCCGATCTCAAATGTCTGAGATCTCCCATTAAGATTACAGGGTCCCTGGTTTACCCCCAGACTGATTCAGTAGGTCTGGGGGTGAGGCCAGGGAGGATGCATCTAATGAGTACCCAGGGCAATTGACTCAGCAGCCTGCCCACTCAACTCTCTGCAGGCCCTCCTTGGGCAGCATGGGAGACACGTTCTATAGAGCATGGCAGCTGGCATGGGGCGGGAGGGAGCAGAACAGGACTGTAGGCCACCCACAGGGAGGCTGTCCCAGTAGCTGGTCATCTTCTTGAAGCCTGGCTGCCCTGAACTTCTACAATAGGCCTGGTGCCAACCTGACATTACAAATCAAATGACCTTCACTGAACGCTTTTAGATGTAAAGGCAAAGCTCTCTACTAGGTTCCTCTGGGACAGAGAACACACTTTTACCCAAGATACCATCCACCCCAAAATACTTCAGTTCCAATTAGTTTATTTCCCCATGTACCAGTCACTTAAATACCTGATCCTTGGAGGCCTTATGCTTAGAAATATAGAGACAGATAAAAACCTGTGCCCTCAAAGACAACTTTCTCTTACGAGCAGCACGGGAAGGAATCTTCATGAGAACACAGGAATTGGAAGCAGCACCTCAAACACTAGTCCCAGTCTCCTCCACCAAGGAAACATCATCTCCCCCATGAGGCCTCTCCCAATCACTCCCACCCACCTTAGAATTCTCTGCTGCCCCATCACTGCCCAACACTTCAGATCTACTCATCTATCAGTTTTCCTCTCTAAGAGTAAACCCAAGCCGCAGAGGGAGGGGCCTCCCATCTGGCTCAGTGCCCCACCTTCCTGAATTAAAATGCAGGTGGAAAACGGCACCTGACAAGAGAACTGCTCTCTTCTCACTGAATGGCAGTGGCATGAGGTACAAGGAATAATAATTGGTTCGTTTGGGGATGGATGGGTGTCATTAATTCTAAAAGGCTTTATCAAAGTGGGTGGGATTCCGAGTCAGGAAAGGGCCTTTATAGACAGAGGGACCAATCCAAACCTGTGCTGGAGTCCACACAGGCCAGGTCAGATGAGGGACAGCAAAGCAAAAACTCCAGCTGGGAAGACCTCTAGCCCCACCTGTTTTGCAAATGGGAAAAGAGGCCCAGGAGTGGCTCCCCCACAGTTGAGAAGTTAACTCAGCCCCGACTTCACAAACCCCACATGCAGTATGGTAGTTAATATTTTTGGGCACCACCTTTCGGGTGTACCTGTCTCCTATACACCTTATGCCAGAATAGGCACAAGGCAAGTCTCTTGCCCAGAACCAGTGGAAAGCAAATGAATTCGTTAGCCTTTACAAAAAATACTTTTTTTTTAAGACAGTCTCACTCTGTTGCCCAGGCTGAAGTGCAGTGGTACAATCTCAGCTCACTGCAACCTCTGTCTCCCGGGTTCAAGCGATTCTCCTGCCTCAGCCTCCCAAGTAGCTGGGATTACAGGCACGTGCCACCATGCCCGGCTAATTTTTGTAGTTTTAGTAGAGATGGGGTTTCACCATGTTGGCCAGGCTTATCTTGAACTCCTGACCTCAGGTGATCCACCTGCCTCAGTCTCCCAAAGTGCTGGGATTACAGCCATGCCTGGCCAAAAAATATTTCTCTTCCTGAATTAAAATGCAAATTTTACCAATCAAGAAACTGACATAAGAACAGTTTTATTTTAATCACTTAACACTTGTGCATTATTCAATTTTGAGATTGAAATACTTGTTTCCCTTTCAACTGATTAGGAAATGGTCTGAGTTGGCAGAAGTTAATCCTCACATTATTCAGCTAATGAGACACAGAACCCTAAAACCTGATTCCAACTTCCGCCTGAACCTCACAATGCAAAGCAAAGCCTTTCATTTTAATGTTGTACAAGTATAAGGACAATGTAATCTGGATTAACTTTAGGTAACAATAACTTAAGATAGGAAAATGTATCATATTACAGAGATTTAAAAATTGACTATACAATAAATGAAGAAGAAAACTAACAATAGAACAGGACAATGTTCAAATAGCGAATATAATGAACAAAATGGGGCCAAAAGATCAACATTTATCTCTCATCATCTTTCTTGCAATGTCTCAGCTTTCTTCTCCCAAACATAAAGGCAAATTAATTCAAAGTAGCCCTATTAAGAATATTTGTTTATCATGTCTGTAATCCCAGCACTTTGGGAGGCCCAGGTGGGCGGATCACCTGAGGTCAGGAGTTCAAGACCAGCCTGACCAATATAGTGAAACTCCGTCTCTACTAAAAATACAAAAATTAGCCAGGTGTGGTGGCACATACCTGCAGTTTCAGCTACTCAGGAGGCTGAGACAGGAGAATTGCTTGAGCCCAGGAGGCGGAGGTTGCAGTGAGCCGAAATCGCACTACTGCACTCTAGCCTGGGCAACAGAGCGAGACTCCGTCTCAAAAAAAAAAAAAAAAAAAAAAAAGACATAGTAAATATAAATGAATTAACTCACACAACCTACTTACAAACAAAACTAGAATAAACAACAACTTGTAGGAACCACCTCTAGTTGATTTCACCACTTAACAGAGGCAAGATCTTAGGTGGGTCACTTTGTTTAAGGATGACTTGAAATTTTACAGTACTACCTTAGATCCCACATATGAAAACTCTTCAAGAATTTTTTATCAACTAGAAGTTGAGGAAAATACAGTGAGAAATAAGATGAAATGGCTTCTTACACATATGAAGGCCGAGATCATGCCTAAATTTCTAATGATTTAACGTAAGAAGCTCCTTGTCCTGAGAGATTCCTTTAACCCACAACACTACTCAGATGGCGCAGAGAATCCCAGGACACTACCCAAGCCACAGGATAAAAACACAACCTGTCTTCTATCTGGCACCAACAGACTAATATCTAGCTATACACGGGACTGACTTTAAAGTTGGTTAACGAGTATTTCAATCCATTAAAATAAAACTTAGAAATTACATGCTTAGTCTACACAAGTTTAACTTACTTTAGTCACTTAGTGAACTGTGAATTGGCTCCCATTAGTGGTCAGAATGCTTTGTATTTGGTGTAGAAACCAAATAAATCAAGCTATTATTACCTTGTGAGTACAAACAATGTTTATTTGTTTGTAAAGTGCCAGTTTTATATTTAAGTAAACATTAAAATGTGCGTTGAAGCAGTGAGGCTGCATCTTTCAATTGGCTGTGCTGGTTAAAAGACTGTTTAATCCTGCTGTGCCAAGCTCACTAAAGGGTCACCCCTCACTTTAAAGCCAAGACTGCCATTGTCACTGCTATGGTAAGTCACAGCCAGCCAGGCCTGCTGGCAAAAGGTGATACTACCAGCACTATAAATAAACAGGACTGGTTGTGAGGTAGCTACACAGTTTTAAAGATGCTGTTAATAAACATTATGGACAATTCACGGTGTGGCTAGTTGGTAACACTTCAGCTGATTTTCTTTATGACATGGAAAAAAAAATCAGCAAAATAAGGGCATATCTTCAGTTCATTTAGAAGTCAGCATCCAAGGTAAAAGAATTCTCTGTTGGACTTGACATCACTCCCATCCTCTGATACTCGCCTACTCTCTTCTCAAAGAAGTTAGTCTTTCCTTCCAGTGAAATATTCTCCATAAAGTCAAATGGGTTCTCTACTCTGAAAACCTGAAAAGGTTCACATCAAGATATAAATACAGAACACCAGTTTCAAAACAAGCAGAAGGCTATGTAAACAATACTTTACCTTGCTAAAACCCAGTTCCAGCATAAGTCTGTCTGCCACAAACTCAATGTATTGCTTCATTAGAGTGCAATTCATCCCAATTAGCTTCACAGGCAAGGCCTCAGTGAGGAACTCCTAGGAACCAAAATATAGCTTCTGAATACAACTAAAGCTCAGGCATTTTCTAGCAAGCCTGAGTAACCCATTTCATCACCCACTTACCTGTTCTATCCGAACAGCATTGATAATTATTTCTCTTACTCTCTCCTCTGATGGTTTGTGTACCAGGTGTTTGAACATCAGGCAAGCAAAATCACAGTGTAAACCCTAGAAAAAAAAGTTCAAGATCACTAAAGCCAGAAGACTTCTGTCACTAACATGGAATATGAAATTACTTTATCCTTTTCTGCATTCTCCTTATCCAACATGCTCAGCCATACTGAGAGGACTTGAACTCTCAAAGGGAAGATGACTTCAACTACAGACTTCTCTGCTCATGTCACCAAGGCAAGCTCAGTCCCATTCAAGGGCATCAAAGCTGCCACCTAGATGAAGACAGGCAAGGTCTATTTCTTGCTCTGCCGTGTGGTGGCAAAGGAGGAGTCACAGCTTCACTCAAAGTGTTCTTTCTACAGCCATGAGTGCTAATTTTGCCACTACTTCAGCAGGAAAGGTAAAACTCAGTAATAAGGCTAGTTTTTAGATGCTCAGGAAATTTGTATGCAATTTCAAGCAAATCAAGTTTGCAAGTGAGTGCATTAAACACCAAGCTTCACAGCTTACCTCCTAATCCGATAAGGAAGGTCCTCCTACAAGGTAACCAAGTTTGATTTGCCTACTGGGCTCCAAGTAAGATGGAGTTCATGCTCCTGGCTTTTCAAATGTGACTTAATCAAAGACATACACTAGACCAAAATGTGTACTCATTTCACCAAGATGCTTATTAACATTGAAGTTGAAGGGCAATTTCTAGATCAAACAGAAAAAACATAATGGCTACTATGAACATTTTTTTGGGGGGACAGAGTCTCGTTCTGTCACCCAGGCTGGAGTGCAGTGGTGCAATCTCAGCTCACTGCAACCTCCGTCTCCCAGGTTCAGGCGATTCTCCTACCTTAGCCTCCCAAGTAGCTGGGACTACAAGCACATGCCACCACACCCGGCTAATTTTTTGTATTTTTAGTAGAGACAGGGTTAGCCAGGATGGTCTCCATCTCCTGACCTCGTGATCCACCCGCCTCAGCCGCCCAAAGTGCTGGGATTACAGGCATAAGCCACCACGCCTGGCTTTACTATGAACATTTTTATGGAAAAGGGGATTACATATAATACCAGGCAAAAATAATAAAACATCCCTTAAAATCCCAATCCCATCAATAACTTGTAGTTTTGGCTGGGCATGGTGGCTCATGCCTGTAACCCCAGCGCTCTGGGAGGCCGAGGCGGGCGGATCATCTGAGGTCAGTTCAACCCGAGCCTGGCAAACATGGTGAAACTCCGTCTCTACAAAACTACGAAAACTAGCCGGGTGTGGTGGCGGGCGCCTACAATCCCAGCTACATGGGAGGCTGAGGCGGGATAATCACTTGAACCTGGGAGGCAGAGGTTGCAGTGAGCCGAGATCACGCCATTGCACTCCAGCCTGGAGCGACAGAGCAAGATTCCATCCCCTCAAAAAACAAAGAACTTGTAGTTTTATGCATTCAAAGCCTATGGGGCAATATATATGTACTAATGTATTACAATATATTGAGAATGCCAAGTAAAATAGTTTCAGTAAATTAAAGTATTTCCTTCTTTTGTCAAGTGTGTGTATGGTTGAACTCACACATTAAATGTGGATATATGCCGTCTAGTACCCCAGGTCCCCATCAGTGAACACAAGAGCATGCCCGAGTTGTGTTTGGGGTTTAGGTCACCCTATTATTTGATTTAGACTCACCTCATCTCTGCTGATAAGTTCATTGGAAAATGTGAGGCCAGGCATCAGTCCTCGTTTCTTGAGCCAGAATATCGATGCAAAAGAACCGGAAAAGAAGATGCCTTCCACTGCGGCAAAGGCTACGACACGTTCACCTATTTCAGAGTTAACACCAAAATGATTCTCGTGAGTTGGTATTCAAGGGCCAACAATCCAATATCATTACTTGGAAAATGAAGCTCAGGTTTAAGTAGCAGCAAAGGTCTCCTTACCATAGGTAGCCTCTTTGTCCCCAATCCAGCGCAAGGCCCAATCTGCCTTCTTCTTGACACAAGGCATCGTTTCAATGGCATTGAAGAGAAATTCCCTAGTAGGCACATACAGCATCAGCAATTGAAGCATTACAGTAAAGACCCCTGATTACCAACTGCTAGATAAGAGCTCTGGGACAAAGGCCAAATTCAAGTATTTGCCAATCCTCTTCCTAAAGCAAGAACTCACACCGAAATGTTATATTTTTACTGGTCAGTTCTTCCCTCCAGTGTTTTTAAAAATCTCAACATTTGATTTACATTAATACAAGTTTGGGTATTCTGTAGTTCATATTGAACTTCAGGGTCTACAAACTGTAAAACATAGTCCAATACAGCAGGGATATTTGTTGCCTTTAAAATTATTTCAAGTCCAGATCATTGTTCAATTTGAAGAATCATAGAATTTGAATTTGAAGAACCATAAAATCCTAACTGCTATGCTATTATCAGACTATCATTGGGGGCATTATTTGGCCCCAGTTGCCACCATCTATATCATAAAATAATTAAACCAATAAACTAAGAATGCTTCCTACTAGAACTCTGTGCTACACAGTCGATCCCAGGTTGGGAAAGCAAATCCATGGGTACTACAGTTAACTGGGTCTCCCTTACCACCCTCCTCTAACTCCCTTTATTCTGGTGCCCACCGTGAGAGGCTACTGATTTCCCAGCCTGTTCCTACCCAGATGACCTTGTGTTCTGAATCTGAAGCCAAGGTCAACAGACATTGGGCAACTTTCATTATTTTTTTTTTTTAAAAGAGATGAGGGTCTCACTCTGTCGCCCAGGCTAGAGTGCAGTAAGATGATCACAGCTCATGGTAAAACCAAACTCCTGGGCTCAAGCCATCCTTCTGTCTCAACCTGCCAAGTAGCTGGGCCTACCAGCTCACACTACCACACCCAGCTGCCTTTCATTCTTCCATCTCACTGTCCTGTTTGAGACCTGGGTCTGCCTCTCCCTTGCTTTTGAGGCTTCCCCAGCAGACCATCTTGATCCCAACCATTCCCCTTTTGGTCATTTGCCCCAATCGTATCCCTAATCTTTGTCCTCTTTTCTCAATTTCCACCTATAAACATGTTCAAATCTCTTCACCCACAATCAGTTTCCTCAGTCCTTTCAAGTTACCACTTTTCCTCTTCATGTACTTCAAAGTCTACAATAGCTACTTTAGGTTGCAGCTTCACCACTTCCACTCCACATAGGGTTCCAGTCCCTAAAGCTGACCTTTGTATCTAGACTACTCCAACAGCCCATTTCTAATCTCCCACCTCCAATCTCCAAAACAAAACAAACCTTAAGCTACCTTTATTTAGCCAAACTGCTGCATGCCTAAATCAGTCTCAGGGTTCACTGCTGCCACTGCCTTGTGTAACTCCTGCTAAGTCTTATTTGCCTGTACCGTACTGCAGCTTCCTTAGGAGACAAGTCCGCCCTGTCCTTCATCCCACCGCAGCCCCACATTCTAGCCTTTCAACATATTTACCAAACAAGCAAAGATGGTAAGACATAGGTTTTAGTTTGTCTTACCCAACATCTAGGAATTTTTTCAAAAGAAGGCTTTACATTGGTAGACATCCAACTCTAAAAGCGGAGTACCTTCACAACTCTAAGTGAATAATAAAGTGAATTTAGGCCCCTTGCTAAGAGCAGACATGACCACAGGTGCTGGGAATGTCTATGACTGACTGCTTAGTCATTCTGGAGTCATTTTTATCTCTACATGAAGTAAAAATTTGTAACAAATCAACAATTAATGAGTCCTAAAAATCTTGGCATACCACTTGAATACTCACCTTTCTTTGGGATCTTTTATGTAAGTGTCAATAAGAAGACTATACATTTCAGAATGTATGTTTTCCATGGCAATTTGGAAGCCATAGAAACAGCGGGCTTCTGTAATCTGAACTTCTTGGCTAAATCGCTCCACCTAGTGGCAAAACACATCAAAGTTAAGCTTGAGAAAAAAACTAACAGCAGCAACGCTCAACAGATACTGGTAGCATCGCACTCTTTGTACCATTATAAGGTTTATTTCTATATATATTTCATCCAATTCGTCACAGTTCTGTGATATTTTATATCATATACTCAACCTACAGATCAGGAAATAGATACATATAAAATAAGATTTCTGTGAGCACTCAATGATTTCCTGATTTATCAAGAAAGATCCATTCCCAATAAGAGATACAACCAAATTATGATTAAAACAGCAAAGCCCCAAAAAGGAGGGAGCAGAGCCAGGCGTGGTGGCTCACGCCTGTAATCCCAGCACTTTGGGAGGCCAAGGTGGGCAGATCACCTGAGGTCATCAGTTCGAGACCAGCCTGGCCAACATGGTGAAACCCTGTCTCTACTAAAAATACAGAAATTAGCCGGCAGGTGGCGCAGGTCTGTAATCCCAGCTAATCATGAGGCTGAGGGAGGAGAATTGCTTGAACCTAGGAGGCAGAGGTTGCAGCGAGCCAAGATCGCACCACTGCACTCCAGCCTGGGCCAGAGTGAGACTGTCTCAAAAAAAAAAAAAAAAAAAAAAGGAGGGAGCAAATATGGCGGCCACAAGGAGTCCTCCTATTGCTACCACTTAATATTGTCTCAGCTTCTCTAGAGTCAGGAAAATACCATAAGAAAGAACTGCAAAGTGTTACAAAACAGGAAATGCCATGTAATATAAAACCCAGCTTACAGACAAAGAGACACTCAGCATGGAAAAATGGAAAAACGTACAAGACAAGGAGAGCGAACTAGTTCGACCTCAGATCGTCAATGTCAAATGAACGAAAGATATTTGAGAAACTCACCAAGTTTTCATTTACTATGCCATCGCTTGCTGCAAAGAAAGCCAGAACATGGGATATAAAATATCTCTCCTCGGGCTTCAGGGATTCCCAGTGCTGAATGTCCTTGGACAGGTCCACCTGAGGTTCGGAGTCACAATTTTAGCATAAAAGGAAGACAGCGAAGCTTGCAGGACTCACACCGAGCTCTCTGAAACTTTAAGTGTGCTGGCACCACTAACTAACTATGCCCCACAGTTAGCCCCCCTTGCCAACGGGAACCTCCAAGTGCATTTATGTCTGAGGTGTCACGGTCCCCCCTGCAGGGGTCTTCGGGGGTCCTCCGATTACCTCCTCGGCAGTCCAGAAGGAAGCCTCCGCCTTCTTATACATCTGCCAGATATCATGGTACTCGATGGGGAAGATGACAAAGCGGCGGGGGTTTTCTCTCAGCAGCGGTTCATCCTCCACGCCGGGGGCAGCTGCTTTAGTTTTCTGTTGGGGAAGAAAATAAAACATTCAAGTACGGGGCGAACCATATGAAACTAATGTTTTTCTCACCAAGTCCGTTCCATGGGCGGCAATTTCATGGGACCCGATGTGAAAACGTGGCTGTCCCGTCGCACTCCGTGGGTCGCAGCAGAGGAGCGCACGCCCAAACCGGGAAATGGGCCGAGGGGCACGGGAGGTCGCCCTGGGGAGGGGCCGCGTAGGCGGGAAAGGAACCGGCGCGGGAGTGTGAACAGCTGAGGAGACAATGCGGTTTTGGCGCCAAGACGCCCAAGGCCGCCCCTGGCCCCTCTGCCCCACGCCCGTCACTCACCGGCTCCGCGGGCTCCTGGAAGATCCTCCTCGCGGTCTTGCTGGCCAGGACGCGGGCCCCGCTCAGGGCTGGCGGCTGCAGGGAGACGTGTGTGAGTCGGGGGCGGCTTCGCTTCCCTGCCTCCCTCCCCGGTCCGCAGCACCCTCCCCGCGCGCTCACCGTGTTCTCCTTGTCGACCAGGCTTAGCCCCTTCAGCGGCGAGAGCTGCAGCTGCTGCGGGTTCGTGATGGGCGCGAGCGGGATGCGGACGGAGAGCATAGTGGCGGCGCAGCGAAGTACAGCGACAGGCCAGAACAGGATGGCTGGGACGCGAAGCACGGGCGACCCCTCGGTCCAGCAGCCTTTAAATCTCCCGTGCCGGCCCTTCCCATTCGCTTTGGCGCCCCGGCCCTTCCCATTGGCTGTGCCGTGCCCCCGACCCTTCCATTGGCTGCACCTTGACCCCACCCAGGCTGGCCGCGGGACAGCGCGCGATTTTCAAGCGCAGCGCGGGAGCCTCCGCCGGCGCCTTCCGGGGACCACCGGGGACACCCCCGTGGACGCCCCCCGGGACCTCCCGGTTCCCCCCGCTCCGTCCGCTGGCTGGGTCGGGGGCGCCGCCGCCCGGGCCTCCACAGGTCCCACGGGACCAGGACCGCAGTCCCTGAGAGTCTCGGCGGCGTTGGCGCGCGCGGGCCCCGGTTCGCCCGGGAACCGTTTGGGATTGCGTGAGGCGCAGCGATTGGAGCCCGCGGGCGCGCTTCCCGAAAGCGCCTCCTCCCAGCCGCGCCGCCGCAGGGCAGGAGACTTTGCCAACGAGGTTGGTGCAAAGGCCTGGAAGACGCTCCTGGGTCGGGGGAGGCGTTGCTGCGACCCTTTCGATCTGTGTCCCTGGGGTGGGAGTGCAAGGGCCCCGAGCCCTGACATTTGGGCGGGGTGGTCGGCGAGGACCCTACAGCCTAAAAGTTAGGGCTGCTGAGCCCCGCGGCTCGTTTTGTTGTGACTGGGACATGCGACCAGGCTTCTTACAGATTCGGCGTCCCCCTGAGTAAAATGGGACTCGTCACCGCGTGGGGTGTTAATGTGGTGAGGAGAGCATTCGTTGAGATGACTCATGTAAAATGTGCGGTCCTTCGTAAACCTTCAAACTCCAGGACACGGAGAGAAGGCCCTTGGTGCAATTTTCCACAGAAATCCTGTCTCCTGTTAGACCCCTGTCCCCTATTGTCACCCTTGCTTTAAGAATTGCAAACTGTGGCTGGGCGCGGTGGCTCACGCCTGTAGTCCCAGCACTTTGGGAGGCCGAGGCAGGAGGATTGTTTGAGGCCAAGAGCTGGAGACCAGCCTTGGCAACATAGTGAGACCCCGCCCCCGTTAAAAAAAGAAAAAAAAAAACTTGTTTTAATTGCAAACTGAGCAAAAATTCCTGGGAGAAAGTTCACAGAATGATTTTAGAACTAGGATTTAATGTACTACTCATTGGGCATCAAATATGCTGAAGAGGAGTTTGAAAACTCCACTGAGGTAGAGCCTGGAACTTAGCAACAGCTTTCATTTAATTGTCTATGTGGCTTTCCGATTTGCCAGGCCCTGCAACGGCAAAATGCCAAAAATAAAGGAAGAGAAAGAAACTTTAAGATCCAAGAAGAAATCATTAACCTGAGAAAGCTTCAACAGCTGCACTCAGGGCTGTTATTGAGAGACTCGGGACTTTTTACAAAGCCTTTTCTAGATACTTTATAGAGGGTGGGGTTGGACAGATACCCTCCCCATCTAGGTCTGTTTCTCTCATTTCTTAAAAGTACTACGGACTTGTATTCAAAGTATTCTCGTGTTGCAGGGATAAGTGACCATCACATTCCTTACACAAAGCCACAACCAAAACTTTGGTGTAGCATGATTTGTTTAAAGCAACTTGCCATCCATTGCCAGTTTCACCCCCAAACACACTAAAGCATCCATCTCCAGGAAATTGGTATTTTTATTGATTACTTTATGGCTGATAAAGCTATTATCTAACAAAATTATAATTTCTTGGTGTAATACTCAACTCAGATTTCAATGTCCCATAATCAACGTCTAAAGCCCTGGTTTTGGTTGCCCTACGGCGCCACGTGCTTTTTTGCTCCTGTTAAACTCACTGTAACTTGAAATAGCCAGAGGTGGCTTCACTTACAGTTTAGTTCCTGGCCACGTAATTAACAGCCATTGTAGAAGGCGCGGAAAGATGCGTACGTGTTAGAGGCCAGGTGAAGTCGCCATCCTCCCCTCCCGCGCTGAACCTGAGTCATCTCGGCGTGGCCCTCCTCCCTCCAGGTCCGGCATCTTTGCCCCGCTGCGGAGGTGGCGGCGCCCACGGCCACGCGGCAATGCGGAAGGTTCCGCCTCTGGGGGGTCGGGCAAAGCAGCCACTCCCGGGAGGGCGCCCGCCGCCGCCGCCGCAGGCGCCGGGCTGCTGCTAGCGCCGGGATTTACTCCTTTTTCCGTCGGTGCTCGTTTTTTTGGTTTTATTTAAGTGAACAGACAAGGGTCTCGCTTGTTTGCCCAGGCTGATCTCAAACTCCTGGCCTCAAGCGATCCTCCCTCCGCCTCCCTAAGCCCCGGGATTCCTGGCGGGAGCCACTTGAGCGCGCGTTTTGACATCTGCATCTACACCATTGGTCTGCACGGGAGGCCCCGCCCCGTTCCCCGGAAGGCTCCTCTGCATTCCCAGCCTCAGGTGCCCCGCCCCGTTTCCGCTGCGCGCTCTCCCGCTCATACGCCCCCAGCCCGGACAGGTTTGCAGGTCCCTGGCCAAGGTTAGCGCGACTTCCAAAAGGCTGTTCCTACCTGTCCACCATTAGGGTGGAAAAACCGCGGCCCGGGGAGCTCAGCACTCACTGTGTACCAGACGCCGTGCCGAAGGTGGTCATAATAATAATTACGGCTGCAGCACCCACAGCCTCTGGGCACCTGGATCGTGTGAGGCTGGGTTTTTTTTGTTTTGTTTTGTTTTGTTTTAGTTTTTTGTTTTTTTGTTTTGAGACAGGGTCTCGCTCTGTTGCCCAGGCTGGTGGCTGCATCATAGTTCACTGCAGCCTCAACTTTCCGAGCTCAAGCGATCCTCCCACCTCAGCCTCCCAAGTAGCTAGGACTGCAGGCATGCACCACTCTGCCAGGCTAATTTTTAAATTTTTTGTAGAGATGGGTTCTCGGTATGTCACCCGGGCTGGTCTTGAACCCCTGGGCTCAAGCCCTCCACCCGCCTTGGCCTCCCAAAATGCTCAGATTACAGGCGTGAGCCACCGTCCCACCGGGGTTGGTATTTTTAACCCCGTTTCATAGGTGAGGAAATGAAGACCTGAGAGGCAAGGAAACTGCCCAAGGTCGCACAGCACAACTGCACAGCAGAACGTTTCTACCCTAACTTTTTATTATGAATGTTTTCAACATACAGAATAATGGAACGATTGCTAGCATTCGCCCACTACCTAGGATTCAACAGCTGTTTCTATTTTGCCATATTTGCCTCATGGCAAATATGGCAGACACCCCCTCTGTGGGTGTGTGAGGCTTATGCTTTTTTATGGATCATTTGAAAGTGATAGATATCATGACCCATTACCCCTAAACGTTTCAGCTCCTAAAAATAAGGACACTCTCTAACATCACCACAATACCACATTTATCCCTAGGAAAACTAACAATACTCCAGTATCACCTAATATCCAGTCCATATTCCTGTTTTTCCAATTGTTTCAAAAATGTCTCATAGTTTTTTGGATTTACTTTTTTTATGCAGGATCTAATTAAGTACATGCATTGCGTTTGGTTATTATGTTGCTTTAGACTCTTAATAAAGCTCTTCCACTTCTTTTCCCCCACGACATTGGCTTTGAAGTACAGGCCAGTTTTCTTGTAGAATGTCCCACATCCTACATTTGCCTGATTGTTTATTCACGGTGTCAATTAACTTGTTTTCCTGACCCCTGGACTCTACACTGGAAGTTAGGTGAAAAGGCTTTATTAGGCCCTGCTTGGAGGCTCACGCCTGTAATCCCAGCACTTTGGGAGGCTGAGGCAGGCAGATCACCTGAGGTCAGGAGTTTGAGAGCAGCCTGGCCAATATAGGGAAACCCCATCTCTACTAAAAATACAAAAATTAGCCAGATGTGGTGGCAGGCGCCTGTAATTCCCACTACTTGGGAGGCTGAGGCAGGAGAATTGCTTGAACCCAGGAGGCAGAGGTTTCAATGAGCCGAGATCACACCATTGCACTCCAACCTGGGCAACAAGAATGAAATTCCGTCTCAAAAAAAAAAAAAAAAAAAAAAGGCAGGTGGGGAGTGGTCGTTATTAGACTTAGGCTAAAAGTTATTGGCAAGAAGACTTCATAAGTGATAATATAGCTAGGATTTGAACCCGGGTCTGACTAACTCCAGAATTCCAGACTCTCAAAAACTTTAATATGAACTGCCAATTACATTATATATATTATATATAAAATATATAATATATATATAATATATATTATAGAGAGAGAGAGAGAGATGAGATCTCGCTATATTGCCCAGGCTGGTCTCAAACTTCTGGGTCAAGCTGTCCTTCTACCTCAGCCTCCCAAAGTGCTGGGATGACAAGCATGAGCCCTTGCGCCCAGCCCAGCATTCTTAATGTAGCACGGCACAGTAGCACCACAACCACAAGTCTCAGGAGCAGCCCAGTTCAACTTTGTAATTAGTTTATGTGTCACTCACTCAGAGGTCAGCAGGAAATGGTTAAGCAGGAAGCAGGGTGGACAACCAGATGAAACTGTCTGATGTTGATATGAGTGTCACCACATCATGTGTGTCTAGAACATTCGCATTGGAGAGCTTCAGCCACTAAGAGGCCATTTTCAGGAGATGGTGAGGATGGGGCAGCCAGCACAGTGCAGAACCTTTGGGATCAATGATTTTCTTTGTGCTCAGATAACCTCTAAAATGGTGTTGAAAAGTGATGTGCCACTTTGCACACATTTAAAGTGACATTTAGCCAGGCACAGTGGCACACCGTTATCGTCCCAGCTACTCTAGAGGCTGAGGAAGGAGAATTGCTTGAGACCAGGCATTTGAAACCAGTCTGGGCAACATAGCAAGACCCCTGTCTCTCAAACTAAAATAAGAATTAAACTGACATTTAAACTTTTTGTCATAAATTAAATAGTTACAGGAGATGTAATCTCCATCATGTTGCAAATATGAGCACTTTAAAACGAAAACTGGCCAGCATAGTGGCTCACACCTGCAATCCTAGCAGTTTGGGAGGCTGAGCTGGGAGGATGGCTTAAGCCCAGAAGTTCAACACCAGCCTAGGCAGCATAGTCAGACCTTGTCTGTATGAAAAATAAAAAATTAGCTGATTGTGGTGGCACACATCTGTGGTCCCAGCTATTCAGGAGGCTGAGGCAGGAGTATTGCTTGAGCCCAGGAAGTTGAAGCAGCAGTGAGCCATGATCAGGCCACTGCATTCCACCCTGGGCAACAAAGCAAGATGCTATCTCAAAATAAATAAAAATAAAAACCACAACTATGTGCTTTTTAACTCTTAGAATTTAGAATCCACAGATTTCAGTATGTTTCTTATGCTTATTTAAAAATTCTTAGTCTGGCTGGGCACGGTGGCTCACGCCTGTAATCCCAGCACTTTGGGAGGCCAAGGGCGGCAGATCATGAGGTCAGGAGATCAAGACTATCCTCACTAACAGGGTGAAACCCCG